CATGCCATTGCCCCGGACCACGGTTACTTCTTTCAGTGCCAGCTGCGCTAAAGGAATGGTCATTTTCTTATCGGCCACCGGTGCTTTGTAAATAGCAAGTCCGGTTGAAGGGCTGCAGGAAAGCATATTGGCTACAGATAATAAACCGGTAGCGCCAAGCAGGCAACCAATACAGGATAGCTTAAGAAATTCACTACGTTTCATGTGTTCAAAATCGATTGTTTAAAATGAATAACCAATCCCAACATTAAGAAAAGTATTGTTCTGGTTGTATGCCGGCATATTGGGTGCCGGGTTTATTAACAGGTCTTTATTTTGCTCGCCGGTATGCAGGATACCCAAATCGGCCTTGATGGTAATATTGATTATGGGCATGAAGTTCAAACCCAGCAGTAAATTTTGCTGTTTGATGGTGCCGCCAATACCCCGAATCCAAAATCTACCTGCTTACCTGTACCTTTGCACCTTCTTATGAATGAACTTCAAAATCCGGGATTTGATACCCTTTGTATACATGGCGGACATTTACAGGAAGCACACCGTGCACACCTGACGCCTATCTACGCTTCAAGCACTTATACATTTAATACAGCCCAGCAGGGGATCGACATCTTCCAGGGCAATGAAGAAGGCTATATCTATGGTCGCTTTGGCAACCCTACCATACGGGAAGCAGAAGCGAAGATTGCCTTGCTGGAAGGGGCCGGCCTGCGTAACAGCGACGGCCAACCGCTGCAACTATACGCGATCTTACATGCCTCGGGCATGGCGGCTATTACCACGATGCTGCTCGGCAACCTGAAGTCCGGGGATAAGATCATTACCCACCATTCGTTGTACGGCGGCACCCAGGAACTGGTAGATAAGATCCTGCCAGGCCTTGGTATTGAATCAGTGATCGTGGACTTTCATCAGCCGGAGCTGGTGGCAGCGGCCATTACTGCCGATGCACAGATTAAGATGATGTACATCGAAACGCCCGCCAACCCTACCCTGCAATGCGTAGACATGGAAGTGCTGAGCGCGCTGGGCAGGCAGCATCACCTTATTGTTTGTGCCGACAATACATTTGCCACCCCATACCTGCAACAACCTTTCCGCTATGAGGTGGATTTTGTGATGCACAGTACCACCAAGTTCCTGAACGGAC